AAGTTACTAACTAATGGGTTCTATTGCACAAGCCAGTATTTAGCTTGAAGCACTTTGCACTTTTCTAAGCTGGAAGGAAGCATAGCTAAGGAGGTGCAAAATTCCCTGACACACATGAGCCCTTGCTTAGGCGGTGCTTCTAATGTTCAGGAATATTACATTGGCTAGCATGGAAGGCTCACGGGAGCGTAACACCCCGCTGCAATGAAAAGGTTTTTTGGATAAAGAAAAAATACTTTCTATCATACATATTGACAGGAGATTTCAGTGAAGCTTTGTGAACGGATCATTACACTACCGTCCCTTAATGCAAGGCTGGCTGGCTTGCCTAACCACCCATCCATCTATCCATCCATCCATGCATGCACGCATCCATTCATGCCGGGCCTCGTGGCTTCTTGGCCCTCAGCATTGAAAGCGCAGAATCCTGACCACTGGACCGCCAGGGAATTCCCAATGCAAGGCTTTTTTAAACACTGGATCCCGACCCATTAGAGAGTCATGAAATCAATTGTTTTGACGAGCATTAACCAAATAATAAAAAATATCAGAGTGCACCACACATAAGCATTAAATATATAGTTCTGATGAGTCTCTCTCTGAGAAAATATACAGAAGCAGCACAAAGAGATCCTTGGTCTCTACCACCTTAGTGTGTCACGGTGTATGACAAGACAATTCGTCCTCTGTTCCTCCTTGGCAAAGCTGGGTGTTCACGCCCCACTCCACCAGCAGCCTGGGCAGAGCTGTTTCCGGGCCCCTCTTCCCAGTCACACACTATTCACTTGGTCAGAGGGTCCCAGGCATCCACAGGATGAGTATGAGGGGCAGGAACCTGTAAACATTAACCCGATTTCCCCCTTAGAAACTGGGGACAGTGCCCAGCCACCTCCTCTTCTCACACTGCTGGTGGCCCAGAAACAGGATGAGATGGTGACAAAGATATTTGCTTAAATTCTTTACATGCAGACCCTCAGCAAATACAGACAGCGATGTTCTCTTACCTCCATACTCCCTCCCTCCTACCTCTGGCACCTGTCACATTTACACAGACTGGTTCCACAAAACACTTTTCAAATGTGCATCTTTTTAATTTTTAAAAATATACACAGGAGAAGCCATGTGTTTTACATAGGAATACACACATTAACAAAGCATTTCTTATAGTTTTCCAAAACTCTATTATATCAGTCTGAGATTTATAAATTAAATATATCAGAACCTTTTAAGTTAAAATGATATCCCTGAAACTACTGGATATGCTAGACTTTTCTCAAGATCAAATGAACAGAGAATGTGAATATGGTTTGTGTTAAATAAGGTTTATTGTTAGCTTTATTGCCTATAGTCTATAAGATGCAACTTTATTGTGCCTTTGCAAACAGGATACATTTCTTAAAAAAACTGATCAAAATTTTCCATACATATAGCTCTATATGATAGATTACAGTGCAACACTATTGTTACATAATTATAGAAATACTATAGAACCCAAGAGCACAGGGTAAGCAAAAGAAATACAATCCTGAGCCATCTGAACAAGATGATTTGATGAATCCTTTTAGTATAAGTCTAGAAAACATGGAGGAGGGCAAAAAAATACATGCACACTGCAGTCAGGAGCAAAATACATTAAATACCTGTTCCTTGCTAGACACAGGTAGGGGTAATGGTGAATTTCAGACACATGCACACTCATTCACGCTCCCAGTTTCTTCTCCTAGCTTCCCTCCCAGCCCCGATACATTCACTCCCACCCCTTCCCAAAAGAAAAGATCAGGCACTAAGTCCTCGTGAGCCCCACATCTGCCTTGCTGGAGAACATTAAAATAAGAGTGTAGGTCATCACCCATAACGTGAAACAAAGCATGTGCTATAAGCCAGTTCCAGCTGCTTCTGCCTCTTTGGAAGTAAATGAAGCATATGCTCACCACAGTATCAAACTGTAGAGGGAAACGTCTTGAAAACGAAACTCTTTTCTCTCCCTACGTCTTGAAGTAGAATCAACAGCAGAAAAACTCACCCTAAAACTAACTGCCTCATCTGCTATTAAAATACATTTGTCATTCCATTTTTGGTATCTGTTCAATTATCGTTAGGAACGGTTCGTGAAGTTTGTACCTGCTTATGGTAAACACCACCGTGCTACATAAAACCTGCCATAGCTGGACAGGCTTACGAAGCACCAGACCTTCTGTTGTGTTCCTTGCTAACATTCCCCCAAGACCAGAGCATTCTAGTGGTACCAAAGATAATGTACGAAGAGTTAAGTAATTAAAGGTATTTGGTTTGTGTCTTCACCTTACACATCCTAGTGATGAAATTAACCGAACATGCCTCCATGCCTTCCCTGAAAATAACCTGAGTCAGCTGACTAAGTAGACTGGCCAGCCTGACTGTCAATCCACTTAATCAGAGGTTGAGCTGGAAAACCAGAGGACTAATGTCTACCAGCAGCGTGTCTTGTGCAGATAAACCAAGAGTTCTTGGTTTTTGCAGTATCTACTGTCCCAAAGGCTGAAACCACCAAGGTGGAAAATAACTCACAGCGTAAAATATACTGAACTTAAACTGCATAACATGTGGGACTACCTGGAGAGAGAAAAGGATCCTCATTCCCCCACAAAATGTGGTGTGGGGTTTAGTGTCTCTGTATACATCAGCTGCTACACAAAAATCAAAACAAAAGATTTACTTCATAATCTCCTTAGTCTCAATCAAATGTTCATACACCCACAAAATACTCACACACCCTATGAATATGAGGTGGCTCTTTTCTTCGAAATTTTAAAAATCAAGAGGCACCAATACCCGTTCATTTATGTATTAGAAGTATCATATAATCACCACTAAAGCAACAGAAATGGCATTTGTGATGATCACACAAGGGAGAAAAAAAGATCAAAAGACAACCTCAGCCACTGCACTTCAGACGGCGCTTGAAAGCACAGATGCTCTAAATCAGAATCTAAGAATCTGATAAGGTTTTACTGGTTGAGCATAGTCCCATGGCCTCTGTCCATGACTGGTAAATGGAAATGGTTTCCTAAAGAAATTTAAGAAACCACGCTGAAATTCTGTTTTCAATGGACGTAACTAGTCTGACTGTAAAAACCTTGGCTCTTTTTCACGACCTTTTTGCAAGAGGAAGCAGAGAGCGACGAAGCACATCCTCCCGCACTGCTGACTGACGGCCTCAGTAATGACATGGTCCTGACACCATTGGTGTAGGTGTTTCTAGAGTAGAAAGGACAGCACGTTTTATTTCAGCATCTTTGGTTAAGGTCTGGCCTCTTCAAATCCACCTCTCTCCTTCACATTTAGTCACCAGTGAATTTTAAGTCCATGCATTTAATTAAAGAAGGTTACAAGACATCATTTGCATGTTAAATTGTCAGATCAATAGAGTTTCAAATTTTTGGCCCTAACCCTGCCCAGTGGGACCACAAGGACCTTGCACAGGAAGCTGTAAAATCAAATGCTTCCGTTAAAGCATATTCTTTCTAAAGTTTCATGAGCTGCACAGAAAACTGTCAACAGGATTTCCAACACGGGGAGAGGGACAAAGCAGAACTCTCTCCGGATTTTCTCCTTGAAACTGGCCTGAGCCAGCTGTGTGAAGTGTCCGGCCGCCAGCAGACATTTACCACCAGCCTCTGGAGCAATGTCTGTATTGTCCCAACCTTATGTAAAGCCTAAATGTTGTGCAGGTATTTGAGGTGGAAAGGTGAGAGTAAGTTGTACCTAAAACTAAAACTACATCTGGCCTAGTGAGAAAAAGGTAAAAAAAAAAAAAGACACACTGGGTTTCATTCAAAGGAAAAAATACATAATAAAGCAATTTTACATCCTCGGCCAGAGTGTCGCCTGGAGTTCTCTACCTTCTCCTGGAGTCCAAGGAGCTTCTCTCTGCTCCCTTCCTTCACTGTGTTAGTGGACAGAGGGTGCCAACAGGAAAAAGCCATGAGGCTGAGCCGGAGGCTGGGCACGGCGAGCGGCTCGGCAGGCCAATCGATCCCTGGCTAAGCCCCCCAGCACACACTAACTCCTGCCATCAGCCTGATCACACACAGCAATCAAGCAGTACCCCTTTCCTTTACAAACAAATCCCCGTTCCCTCAGGTGAACATTTCAGGATAAACCAGCCAGGCTAGGATACACTACAGCAAATGCTGCCCGTTTCCAATTAACTTAGCACCAAATCTGGTATCTCCCTCCCCCGCAAACGAAGTCAATCTGCAGTTTACAATGTGAAGCGTCACATTTCTCTTTGCTTCTGTGTATTCTTCTTTTTTCATTTTCTCATGAAAGTTTTCCTCTATTGGTATTCGGTTCCATGTCAGACGACACAGAGTTGCAAAGTATTTGGTGATTTCCATATGACATTCTTTTCAAAATGAAGTAACTTCATGGGTTGAAGTCAGAATTATGTCCACAGAAGTCTTTTCCATGTAGTTCAGCATACAGAGAAAGACTCTTACGCATGGCTATTTTTGGACAGTGCATTAAATGAAGATACCTCACAAGAGAAAAGATCATTATCTGTATCCATTAGAATAATATACAGATTCACAGTCAATGAGATGATATGCTTTGCAGAAGAGAGGCATTGAACAGTATACTATTCGAATACAAAAACAGCAATAAACATTCTGCACTACAGAAATCTGTTAGCTTCTAAGTTGAAGGGTTGAAAGTGATGAGTCTGGTAACTGCACTTTAGGACTGGAACATGCTTCTTCCCCTCCAGATACACAATGTTTGATGCTGGTGCACATATATATATACACACACACACACACACATATATATATATACATACACGCAACACTGTGCCTGCAATGATATACAAACGCAATATAAACAGCCAAGTCCTGAAAGCAGATTTTAAGAGAAGAGGGCTACCAAGACCAAGAGAGCAAATATCAACTTAAGAACACTTCCAACTTCACAATCTTGTTTTATTGAACACTCTTTTAAAACAAGCACCTCTTGGCAATAAAAGCAAAGAAACAACTGTACTGCCTCCACTCTGTTCTAGTGGAAGACTGCTCACACCAAACTGCTAATAAATTGGTGATGGGATTTTAAAACAGGCAGCCTGCTGGGACTACAAGCAGACCTCAGATGCAGGTCTGCTGACTACTTGGTGAGAGCTGGAGCAGAGGAAAACATCAAAAAGCAAATTTGGAATCTATCACAGCTCTCTTCCTTAAGCAAAAAAACCCCTGCAAATTAGTTTCATAACCACAATTCAGTTTTTCAAACTTTTTCTGAAGAATTTTCATTTAATTATGTACACATAACAGGAAATAAAACTTTTTCACAAACATTCTCAAGGCTTACAGTTATCAGGAGAATGACAAAAGTAAAAGCAGGAGAGATATTAAACACATGGCAGGAAGGTAAATTTCTGTTTCTGCTCTTAAAAAGTAAAAAAATCACCATATAATTAAGTACAAAAACCTGCATTGAATGACAACTGCTGGTGTATTTACTTGATCAGAAATGAAGACCAAGAATATAATAAAGCCCTATGATAATATTCATCTGGAGCACTCCCCTCAGTGTGTATACACTAAAATGTTGGCAAAGTTTCCGGAGCATTAGCTTATATAAACATGGGAGTCCTTGGTTAGCTGCATTAAATGGAACGTTCTCTCGATTCAGTTTCACTTACAAATTGCAAACTAAAGTTATTTCTTCAGAAAAATATCTGTTTGGCATCCCCTGGACTTTGTTCCATTGGACAATATGGACATTTTAATCTAAAGACAAGAAAGAAAACATTAAATCAAGGAACAGGATCAGTACTGAGCATTCAATTTTTATCTAGTTATAGAGTCTTTAAAAATCACACACACACACACACACACACACACACACACACACACACACACACACGTCTGTTTTTTGCTTTGAGGATTAACTGTGCTTTCGCTTAATGTAACAGCCAAGCTTTGAAGGGTCACAAAGAAACACCATCCAAGCCAGACGCTAAACTTCAAGGCTCTTCAGTGGAAATCAGTGAAAACTATTTTGAAAACAAAGACAACTGTTCTGAAAATTGCTTTTGGGGTTTCAGAAGTAAATCCAATTTTTCTTCTCCAGTCTTAGCTTATACCTATCTCAAAATGACTTTCAGAGGTACTGGTGTCACAATCCACTCACACGCAGCAAATCTGATGCCAGCTGCTAAGCCTACAAGGCATGCAGCCTACCCAGAGCAGCCTACACGCCCTGTCGTGGCACACAATACCCTGCAGTGGCACATGAAACCAGCATGGTCTGAACCAAGATCAAGCTCTGGCTTCAAGTCACCACCTACCTACACTCCCAGGGTTTCTGGAAAGAACATGAACTGCTGCTTCAGGGCCTTCTCTTAAAAGAAAGACTTCACCATAACGGGTCTGAAATGAACTCCAATGAGAAATTTTCTAGCTGCCTTAGCTAGAAATAGGGTTTTGAGACTGTATTTTTAAATTTGGGTTCATTATGTATAGAAATTATAAATGTGTATACCTGTTGAATTACAATTCTACAAATTTATAAATCACATATAGATACGGTAATTCACTTTATAGTTAACAAAAGTTAAATGCTCATCATCAGGGAGCTGGTTAAATAAATTATCACATTTCCATATGACAGAATAATCTACAGCTTTAAAAAAGAATGAGGGGGCCTCCCTGGTGGCGCAGTGGTTGGGAGTCCGCCTGCCGATGCGGGGGATGCGGGTTCGTGCCCCGGTCCGGGAGGATCCCGCGTGCCGCGGAGCGGCTCTACACCACAAAAAAATCTCCAAGATGTACTACTAAGTGAAAAAAAACAAAGTTCAGAACAGTGTATAGTATGCTACCATTTGTGTAAAAGGGAGGGGAAGGGCTGGGATGACAATGTACCACCCACCCAAAAAGTTAAGAGTTAAAGATCATGCTTATAAATCTAATCAATAAATTCATGAACAAAGACTAATAAAGACTGAGAAAAGACACGACCCACTAAACTAAATAAGTAGTTAAGAAATCTATTTCTTTCTAAATTCTAGCTACATTTATTTATCCTTGTTACTTATCTTCCCACTAAGTTCCAAAAGAGTATTTGTTTCTTTTTTTTTTTTTTTTACTGCCACTGAAAAAGTGAGACACTTACTTGCTACCGTTAAACATTTTATTCAGGGCATCTCTTGATATAATATGACCACAGACCAATTTCATGGGTGGATTGTTATCTGTTGTTTGCTGACGAAGAATAGGACAGGCAAATATTGAGTGATACCAGCACTTTTTACCAAGGTCCACTTCAATCTGTTTTTTAAAAAAGGTAAAAGGCTCAAGTTATATTACAGAAAACCATCCACATGTCAGTATGTACTCTGCAGCAAAGAACATTTATCAAACCTACTCATCTGAAGGTAACTTTTTACAGCACTCTTCTAAACTAACCAAAGATGCAGTCTTTGGGATTCAAAGTATTACCTCATAATTCTAAGTTATTTTTAACACTACATATCAAACCAAATTCTGATGCCTGAGAGCAAGAGTCAAAGGCAAGGCAACACTCTAGAAGTCAAACGCTCTTGAAAATCCATCAGGATATAGCGAAGAGTAAACCCGCAAGAATCCTGACTGTTTTTACAGCACCCTTAGCCAGGTGACACAATTCAGTGTGACAATTCCTTTAAAGGCAGACTAAACATTGTTTACCGCTGTGTGGGCTTCAGATCCAGATCTTTTCCGTGTTTTATGTGTAACTGTCCAGAGAAACTACCTGAAACAAGGGCTTTAAACTAAAGTTCAGCAG